TAATGAAGCATAAGTTAAGATATGAAAAGCTGGTAAAAGCTGGAACTCCGCTTTTGCTCTTCTTGATTGTCATATGACCATGGGTCACATTTGCCTGGCTGTCGGGTTCCACATTTGACTGTAGTGCTCTTTCTTTCTTTGCGGTGCTTGCTTCAAAGTTTTGTGGGGGCCACACTCTCTTGGTTATGGTGCTTAGCACACGTCAGGTGTTCCTGTGGGCAGGAGCGGCAAGGTGCTCGCACACCTTCAGTTGTGGTGCCCCCACACACACCTGGCTGCAGAGACCCAGAGATCACATACTCCACTGCAGCCAAAGGGGCTCACTCAGCACATGTGGGGGGCACTAGATCGAACTCATGCGCCTTGTGCTGAGAAAGCTGGCATATTTTGACCACTGAACCATCCCCAGAGAGAACCCTCTGGGGCTCTTTTTCTGGACTGAGAGGTCATGGTAGAGATTAGAGACTGGGGCTTTATGATGCAGAGGAAATGATCCTCCACATCCACAGGAAAAGGAGTAGCTTGAAAAGATTTATGATTTAGACATTTTATTAGCCACTAAAACTGTGTTATTATAAAATCCTTTCAAATAGGAGATGTTCAAGGCTCCATTGAATTTTTTAATTCAGTAACTGATTCCTGGTATGAGCTCCTCAAAAATCCAGGCAGAGAGCTGTGATTTTGTGCCTGAGGAACAGAGCCAGCCCTGACCATCGGCTGTGCCTGAGCTGCTTGCTAGGGGCCTGCATGATGGCCTTGAGCCTGCTGGCTGCACCAGGCACAGTGGTACTGAGTGACCATGTGCTCCATTGAGTCACATCTCTGGAAGTAAGACTGCTTAAGACTCCCGTGAAACCTGGACTGGAGAAATAGTTCAGGAGTTAAGGTATTTGCCTTGCATGCAGCTAACCCCTGGTTCAATCTTTAAGTACTTTCAGATGTGGCAATGTAATAACATCATAGCACTGTAGCACTGTCCTCCCATTGTTCGTTGATTTGCTCGAGTGGACCCAGTAACATTGTGAGACTTGTTGTTACTGTGTTTGGCATATCGAATACGTCACAGGTAGCGTGCCAGGCTTTGCTGTGCGGGCGGAATACTCTCGGTAGCTTGCTGGGCTCTCCAAGAAGGGCAGAGGAATCGAACTCAGGTCAACCAGGTCGGCCGTATGCAAGGCAAACGCCCTACCCACTGTGCTATCGCTCCAGCCCAAAAACATCATAACATAATGAAAATTGGTGGAACTCCCACAGTCATAGCCAGAGGAACAAATACAGATACTTTCACATGAGAATTTTTTTTAACACTTTGAACAGCAACCTTTACTAAGAAACATGACTCATACATTTGTATTCAAATACGTATATAAATTTACATGCACTTGTATATATATCCAAACATAGTACATTAGGCTGTGCATATAAATATATTATGTGTAAATAAACATGGAAACCAAAGTTTCATAAAATGGTACTTGAATGTTACTAGTATTTTAATTTTCGCTTGTTTTTAAAAATGTTTAGACACCGTGATTTGTAAAGTTGTTTGCAGTAGGTTTCTAGGCATATAATGTCAACCCCATCCCACCACTAGTGATCCCAGTTTTCCTCCCACTTCCTACCTTAACTCCTTGACAGACAGACTTTTAAGTTTAATTATTGTAGCGTGGGTCCGTACTTTCCATCGTATTGGGTCTAGTGGCTTAGATCAATGCAGATACCTCATCAGTACAGCCGAGCCTAGTCCAAGGTCCCCCTTGCCTCATGTGATTTCTGGGACTTCTCTTTTTTTTTTTCTTTTTTATTAGTGAAACGACATGAGGTACAGTTGTAGATTTACAAATTTTTGTGCTTGGATCTCGGTCATACCACGATCAAATACCCATCCCTCCACCAGTGCCCATTTTCCACCACCAGGATAATATCCCTCCCCCCCCATCCTCCCATCCCCCCATCCCCCCCTGCCACTGTGGCAGGGCATTCCCCCCTGTTCTCTCTCTCCTCCTGGGCGCTGTGATCAGCCAAAGAGGCATTGAGTGGCGAACATGTTCAGTCTAGGACTTCTCTTTCCACTTTCCCTCACCCCCATTCCTCTCCTTTCTTGGAATTTTTGTTTCGATAATCTACAGCTAATGTTGCCCACCTTTGATTTCTTCCATTAAGTTTTTAAATGCTGCTTTCCATAGTTAAATGAACAGTGCTGGCCTGAAGGATCTGCCTTACCATGCAGTGGAGGGCCTGGGTGCCCTTGTAAGCAGGTCGCAGGCATGCAGTGAGTGGTGCTGTGTGGAGCCAGGCGAGGCACAGTGATACCACGGACCTTGCAGCTGGTTTACTGTGTCCAGTTTAGCTGCTGACATGACCCTCCTCCAAGACACATTTGGTTGGTAAGGCCTCTACTTCCTGATCCTATCAAGCCCGCTAAGATCAGTTCTTGATAAGTAGATGAATGTGTGTTTTAGTCCTCGGCATCATCAGATTTACAGGAAAAGTCAATAGGAATTTCCCTGACAGAAACCAGAACATAAAGGAGGTGTATATCTGTGAGGTTTCCGGATGTACTTTTCAACGTCTTTCTTCTCTCTAGTCCCTTTCCCTCGCTGCCAAGGATGGTGCTGCAGCAGTGGCCCTGGGGTGGGGGCCTTGCCCCTAGTCAAGGTGCTGACACACATGCCTGCTAGTGGTCCTTCTTCTTTCCGTGATGCTCATGTTTGTACTGGCCCTGTGCTCGCACACACAGAGAGCTCGTGCTGCGATGTGTCCCTGAGGATCCCCAGGGCAGTGCCGTGACCACGATCATGCTAGGGACACGCAGGATCCTGCCCTGGCTCCAGCTCCCAACCTCATGCCCCCAAAGGCAGGTGCTTGGCCACTCAGCACCCCAAAATATTTTCAACGGTGTCACTGATGTTTCTACCACCTGCTGTTATTATTGCACGTTCCTTTCTTAAGTTGATTTTAAGACTTCATCTATTACTTGGAATAATATAAGAAATATATTTTTTGCACGACTCTGTTTTTGGAGGCAACAGTTTAAAAAGTCAGGCAGATCAAGACTTGTGACTTGATGAGGTCTGTGATCCACCTCTCTAAAGGAAACAAAATTTGGTTCCATGATCCTATTTGAGGGGCCGGAGACATAGTACCAGAGTTCAAACAGTCACTTGCCCTGCATGCCGCCCATTTCAATTTCATTCCCCAGTCCACAGAGGGTCCACTGAGTGCCACCAGAAATAATGTAATGAAAGAGTGAGCACAGAGCCAGGAGTAAACCCTGGGTGTGGCTAAAAAAAAAAAACAAAATAAAAAGAAGCGGAAAAAATTTAAGTAAAGTAAAATGCCATAATCTTACTTGAGAACCTTAAATCTGAGCCAAAGTCACTGTTCTCCCCAGAGCACGGTCAGCTTCTCTGGAAGGAAGAACTCCACCCCATGCTCTGGATACCTAGACCTCAGATGAGTCTACATTTTTGCCTGGACTCCTCCTGCAATGGTACCTATGAACTAGATCCAAAGGCAGTCTGAGAAGCAGCCTCCTTGGTCCTGCCCACAGATCATCTGAGTGAGCCCAACTACCCTCAGGCTGTAGCAAGCTGCCTTCTGAGAAAGTACAGGCTGCACTTGGAGAAGGAGTTTACGCCCGTTTCCCCAGATGCCCACAGCATGGGCAGAGAATGTCTTTGTGGTGTGTGTGTGAGAAATAGGCAAGCAAAGAATGGAAATAGGCAAGCAAAGAAATATATCGACACACTGTATTGCAACCCATAATGTGTGTGTGTGTGTGTGTGTGTGAGAGAGAGAGAGAGAGAGAGAAATGTTTTTATCAAAACTTATTTAGAAAGATGTGAGGGGGGAAATTACATGTTTGAGAGAGATCACGGGCTTCTCCAGAATGGAAATAGGCAAGCAAAGAAATATATCGACACACTGTATTGCAACCCATAATGCCCAAAAGGAGAGAGAGAGAGTATGGGGGGGAATTGTCTGTCATGGGGGGTGAGGGGGGGGATGGGGAGGATACTGGGGACATTGGTAGTGGAAAATGTACTCTGGTGGAGGGATGGATGGTCCATCTTTGTTTAACTGAAACTCTAACATGAAAACTTTGTAAGTGTTGCTCACGGTGATTCAAGAAAGAAAGGAAAGAAAGAAAGAAAGAAAGAAAGAAAGAAAGAAAGAAAGAAAGAAAGGAAATATTGATACAAACAAGCAAGATGCATGTTTAAAGAACAGGACCTTGGAAGAACAAGGCAGAATCGCTTTTTAAAATACATTAAGGGCCCAGAGAGATAGTGCAAAGGTTAATGCACTTGCCTTGCATAAGACTGACCCGGCTTTGATCCCTGGTCCCAGCTGTGGTCCCTGGATCCCACCAGAGTGATCCCTGAGCACAGAGCCAGGAGTAAGCCCTGAGCACTGCCATGGATGGTTCCCAGACAAACGAAAAAGCATTTGTTGAACCCAGGAGATAACTCAAAGGTTTGGAGGGAGTGTGCTGGACATGTCCGAGGCCCCAGGTGTCTCTCATGGTCCCTGACCCTGCTGGACAGGAGCAGCACCTCCAGGTACAAAGTCCATCAGGTGCCCACATCTGAGCCGCGTGTCACTGGGAGTGGTCCCCAACTTCCAAGCCCAGCTAGGGAGACCCCACTTAAATGCACTAACTAAAATTGTCGTTCTATCATACTAAATATTGTAATTTTAAAATAATAATAATAATCTCGCTTTGTAAAGTCAGCTCTGAGCAGAAAGTGAATGGGCTTTTAAGCGCCATAGACGAACTGTGTGGAGCACTGCTGCCCCCTTTTGGTAAAGTAGCTTAATTACAGGTCCAGTGGTCTGTGGCAGACACTTACAGAGACTTGTTTAAGTGACAGAATCGGGGACACTACTGGTATAGAGGGCTCATGTGTCAGGAAGAGCGCGCTTCACTGCTGCTCTCTGCATCTCATGGGGCCACACGTGCTCCCATGTCACGTACTTTCTGTCCTTCCCGGCAGGATTGGAGGAGCCATTCCCACCGTGTTCTCCTACTTTGCCGAAGTGCTGGCCCGAGAGAAGCGGGGTGAGCATCTCAGCTGGCTCTGCATGTTCTGGATGATCGGCGGTATCTACGCCTCTGCCATGGCCTGGGCCATCATCCCGCACTATGGTAAGAAGCTAACCTGGCCCAGCGCAGCCGCCACCTTGCTTCACTTCTGACTTCATTCACCTTCCTGATCGCTCCCTCCCTCCCTCTCCCCCTCCTCCTCTTCCTTCCTCTCTCTCTCTCTCCCTCTCTCTCCCATCTCTTCTCTCTTTCTTCTCTCTCTCTCTCTCTCTTTCTCTCTCGCTCATGCTCTTTTGACAAAAAAAAAAAACCATCATGATTCTCTCCCTTTCATTTTCTATGCCTAGACTTTTTTGTTTTGTTTTGTTTTGTTTTGGTCCAGAGATCTGTATAAGGTAAGACTGTGCCAGTGGTCCTTCAGGAATACAGTTGTGTTTTACCATTGAATTTTTTGTTGTTATTGTACTTAGGGGCCATACAGACTGGGGTTATGTGTTGCCTACATTGACAACTCTTATCAAAAGTATCCAAGCACGGGTACAGGACCACAGCAAACCGCAAGCGTCTCTCAGGGCAGTGCAGGCACCAGAGCTCCCCTGCCCTTCTTTGCCACATGCCGGACTCACTGGCGAGCTCTACAGCATGCAGACCCCGCCCACCAGTGCCAGGGTGGGTGGGGGCTGTGGCAGGTGTTGAACCCTTGCATAGCACTGTACCACTGTGCCCCACCCTCAGCTCTGTGTTTCGCCATTTTTAAATCCATTGCTTTCATTTGCTTCCTGTGTGCTATCCGTGGGGTCCTTGCCCAGGGGGAGGTGAGAGTGATCCCCAGACCATACTCAGATCATAATAAGGCAGACCATACTCAGATCATACCCAGATCATACCCAGATCATACCCAGACCATACTCAGATCATAAGACAAACAGAAGAACTGAAGCGTGAACTCCCCGGCCCCCACTTTCCAGGCACCCTCCCCAGTTCTCCTGAGCACTCAGTGTACCTGCCACTTGGAGACCTGAAATGCTTCTGAGTTCTATTGCTTTGTTTTGTTTGGGGGCTATTCCTGGCAGTGCTCAGGGGTTATCCTAGCTTTGTGTTCAGGAATCACTCCTGGTAGGGCCTCGGGGACCATTTGGGGTGCCAGGGATCAAACCCACGTCGGCCGCATTCAAGGCAAGTGATCCTCCCACCATACTTCTCCCCGGCCTTGTGTCTGGCTTCTCTGACTTGGATGCCTGAAGTTCCCAGTTGCTTCCCTCACAAACACCTAAGTCAGGGGTAGGGGAACCGAATATAGGAATCAAATTCAGTGTATCAGCAGAGCGTGTGTGTGTGTGTGTGTGTGTGTGTGTGTGTGTGTGTGTGTGTGATGTATGTGTGTGGATCAACAGGCTGAAGTTAGCCAAATATGAACACTATATGAAAACCCCTTGTGACCTCACTCATTCATTGCTCTGTCTGAAACCTAACAAAGCAAAAAACTCAGGTTTCAGAAATTTGCTCTTGGCTCATTTTCTTCTCTCTCTTTTTTCAAAAAAAATTCTGAGACTATATATAATGTCCAGATATTTTTTTCTGCATTTTTTTCTACAACAGAGCAACAGAGTGACTTTTAAAAAATTATTTTTGGTTTTGGGGACACACCATGATGTGGGGATCAAACCAAAGTTGGCGCATGTAAGACAAACACCTTAGCCTTTGTGCTCTCTGGCTCTGGCCTCAAACCTAGCCAGAGCTCACAGTGGTCCTTGCAATTGGTGAGCTCCGACAGGCCAAGCATGATGGTGTGCATCTGTCAATAGTCTCCCCACTCGGCTTTTAGTTCCTTGGGCTCTTCCCCTTCATACCTCCCTGCCTTTGCTCTATGGAGGGCTCCAGATTTTTTTCTCTGGCCTTTCTGCCACTCAGTCAGTGACTCACCTACACAAAATAAGCACTATCCCCAGCTTTTTTTTTTCAATCCCACAGTAAATAATTTTTGTTTATAACAAAAGGGCTTCCTAAGCCACTTGTAATTAGAAAGGTTGAAGGTAGTAAATCTTACACAATGCATGAAAAATTACCAAAACAATCACAGTACAGCAGAATTAAATGTATTTGAGACTGACTTTAATTTCTGTGTCGAAGTAGCCTTGAGAAATAGTCATGCGGTTAATGAAAAAGAAATTAATAAAGGTCCATGGAAGTGACTTAGCGATACATGGAGGCCATGTCTTGTAGGTATAAGGAGGGAAGGCAGAGAAGAAAGGAAGGTAGGGAGGGAGAGAGGGAGGAAGGGAAGAAGAAAGGAAGGAAGGAAGGAAGGAAGGAAGGAAGGAAGGAAGGAAGGCCTTTTGCATCTGGAAGTATGACTGAAAAATCAAGTTATTTCTATCAATCCCATATATATATATTATATATATATATTAGAATTAAGGGGTAGTCTTTTAAAATACGCTTATCTTTTTAAAATCCCTATATATATTGAAGAGTTTTAATTGTTTCGGCTGGAGTATGATTTTTTTTGTTTGTTTTTTTGCTTTTGGGGTCACACCCAGCGATGCACAGAGGTTACTCCTGGCTCTGCACTCAGAAATCACTCTGGCGGTGCTCAGGGGACCATATGGATGCTGGGAATAGAACCCAGGTCAGCCACATGCAAGGCAAACGCCCTACCCGCTGTGCTATCAATCCAGCCCCTGGAGTATGATTTTTAAAAATCCTGTATTGAGGTTGCTGGATTCTGTGTCCTGTGACTGGGGTGAGGGAGGAATATTGTGAAAATCCCTTAAACTGCTTTTGCTCTCTGTGAATTACATCTTTTCATATGTGACTTTTAGTAAAAGTTGACTCTTCTCTCACCCCTGAAGGGAGCCATGGTTGGATCCTACCCATCCTCAATCAGATTTCTGATCAGTCTCTGGGCCTGAGACTCAGCAGGAATCATTTAAAGATCATTTAAAGAGTCCTGCAGCCCAGATTGAGAATCTTCAATGGCTCACCTCTCCCCTCGGGTGGGCTCTGAGCCAAAGTCTACACAGGGGCCGGGTCGCGTCTGTCCTGTGAATATTTGGGCAGTCCCGACCTGCACGCCTAACTCCTTTCATGAGTGTCGGTTACTACGCCCTGGGTTTTTTAGAGTCCCATTGACCTCAGAATGTCAGTCTTTTCAAGGGTACCTCTTTTCATGTACTGAAAATGATCCAAGGGTTAAAGTCTCTGCATGCTGTTGGCAGCTTTGGGAAAAATACAAAACATGAAACGCTGTGTTATTTCTCTCGAGCTCTCTGTTCCATCAGGGATGCTGCAGCCCAGAGAAGCAAGAGAACGGGAGGCCCTACCTCTACCCTCTTCCATTCAAGAGCCAGAGGAGCACCTTTGCCCTGGGCTGAGTTTTATTCACTCAAAGCCCATCACCAGCCTTTTTCACATGGGTAATATAGAATTTGCTTGAAGGGTCAGGATGTCATTGGCACCCACTTGGCGGGTGATCCTGATGACCAGAGGTGCCCCCAGCCCCAGTGTAAGAAGCTGTTTCTGCATTCATGTGTGACCCAGTGGTTGGTGCCCAGTTACCACCATTTGAACCCTGGCTCCACACCAGCACCTGAGACCACGCAGATATTGAGCTGGTCACTAAAGGTTGTCTGGAAGGATTCCTAACAAGGTCAGCATAACACCAGACAGAAAAAGCTGTGGTCAGATTGTGGCTGTGAGTTCCTGGTGGATGGTGGGCCTAGCAGTTTCTATACCAGCTTCAGATTACCAGGGTGTTGTACCTTCACACGTTGCTTGAGGGGCTGAAAGTCTCCCTGGAGACGGACAGGCAACTGCCAATATGGAAAGCTTCTGAATATGTAAAATGTCCTCAAACAGTCCAGCAAGGCTGCAGGGACTGAGGGCTCGTGTCTCATCATACCCTGCACCTCTTCTGCCAGCCGCCGCCATGTTACCAGCTACTTCCATTGAGCCTCAAGGCTGTTCCCTGTACACAGAAGGCCACGGCTTCCCACATCACGTGTGGCTGAGCTGCTGTGACCAGGCATAGAGAAAGGATGCTTCTGGAATCCCCACACTGGCAAGGCTAGACACCAGTTCTGGGACCAACAGTCAGAGTAAGGGCCGCTCTGGGTGTGCTCCCCGAGGCCCCTGTAATCAGGTCATCTGAGACCTTAATGGAAGCACCTTGGAAGGGAAAACAGGAACTGGCTGAGTCACCTGCACTTCGCAGCCTTGGCTGAGTGCTTCCTTCTGAGGCGGGTGTGTGGGAGTGTGGCTCGCTCCATTAACGCTCTGTCGTCACTGCAGAGGACACATTGTCCCCTGCTGAGGTGCGTGAGGATGTGCAGCAAGGATGTCGGTTATCTAAATGGGGGGTTCTTTGAGCTGCTGAGGGAGAAGGCAGTTGGGGTAGCAAAGGGACCACCATGACAAAGATAGTTGGAAATGATCTCTCTGTATAAGAACTGCGTGCTAAAAATAGGTAAAGGGACAAACATAATAACCTCTCAGTACCTGTATTGTAAACCAAAGAAGAGAAAGAGACAGAGACAGAAAGAGACAGAGAGACACAAAGACAGAGAGAGAGAGAGAGAGAGAGAGAGAGAGAGAGAGAGAGAGAGAGAGAAGAAAGGCGCCTGCCATAGAGACAGGCTGGGGGGAGAGGGTGGTGGCAGGGAACCTGGAAACACGGATGGTGGGAAATGTGCACTGGTGGAGGAATGGGTGTTGGAACACTGTATGACTGAAACTCGACCATGATTAGCTTTGTAACTATCTCACCATGACTCAAAAAAAAAAATTTTTTTTAATTGGCTTGAATTACTTTTATTTTTTTATTTTTTTTATTAGTGAAACACCATGAGGTACAGTTATAGACTTATAAATTTTTGTGCTTGGGTTTCAGTTATACAATGATCAAGTACCCATCCCTCCACCAGTGCCCATGCTCCACCAAAGTTTTTTCAAAAAGTTAAAAAGTGCTTTTTGCTTTGCCCTTTTAGAATGGGGTCTTGAAGTCAGGAGCTGCCTCTTTGATTGCGTATTAAACCACACACAGCACAGGCCTGAGGTCTTGGCGCTTCCCTTCAAACTCCCCTGTCAGCCACTTGCTGAGCTCT